TTATTCAGTTTGTTGGCCTGCATATTGTTTGGCTGAAAGTTGATCTCTGGGGGTAGGCTGAAGGGTGTCAAGGGCCATTGATTTAGAGGCTTCATCAGTCTTATCAGCCCAGTAAATCTGTTCTTTTTTATATAATTATGAATTTTGTGCTACATTTTTTTTTCTCCCCTTCTTTTCAGGACCTTTTATTGTGATCCTGATCAGAGCAGCCTGTTGTGATAGCTAAGTACAATCTAGTTCTTCTGATCTCAGGGTAGTAGATGCTATGGTTCACATGATCCATTAGTCTTTTGGACTACTTGTTTCCATGAGTGTTTGATTTTCTTCACTCTCCTTTGCTCCAGAAGGGAAAAGACAATCATTCATCTTAGATAGCCACTCGCAAACTTTTAAGACCCTAGTCTCTACTCACCAAAGTAGAATGTACATAGACCAGTGGAACAAAATTGAGAACCCGGAAGTAAATCCATCTACCTATGGACACTTGATCTTTGACAAAGTGCCAAAATCCATTAAATATGGAAGAGATAGTCTTGCTAACAAAATAGTACTAGCGAAGCTGGACGTCCATTTGCAGAAAAATGAAACAGGATCCATATCTCACACCATATACAAAAATGAACTCAAGATGGAACACAGACCTAAATGTAGAACTTAAACTATATACACCACCAAAGAAAAAATAGGAACAAACTTAGGACCCTAAAGTAAGACATAAATACGTTATCAAATATAACTAATAATACAAAAGCAGAAGATAAAACTAGATGACTGGAACCTCCTAAAAATTAGATACTTATCAAAAGATTTCACCAAAAGAGTAAAAAGAGAATCCACAGACTGGGGAAAAAAATTTGGCAACAACATGTCAGAAAAGGGACTAATCTCTAAAATTTACAGAAAACTTCAGCACATCAAAAGATTTCACCAAAAGAGTGAAAAGAGAACCCATGGACTGAGAAAAACAAATTGACAGCGGCACACAGGATAAGGGACTAAGCTCTAAAATTTAAAGAAAACTTCAACACCACCTCAGCAACAAAAAGAAAAATAACCCAATTAAAAAATGGACAAAGGACATGAACAGACATTTTACCAAAGAAGACATTCAAGCAGCTCACAAACATGTGAAGAAATGCTTGCAATCATTAGCCATTAAAACTCCATTGCTGTTGAGTCAGATCCAACTCATAGCAACCCCTCCTTGGGTTTCCAAGGCAATATCATTACAGAAATAGATTGCCCAACCTTCCTTCTGAGGAGTGGCTGGTGGGTTTGAACTGCCAGCCCTCTGATTAGCAGTCAAATGCCTTAGGCACAACAATGGGTTTCCAAGGCAATATCATTACAGAAATAGATTGCCCAACCTTCCTTCTGAGGAGTGGCTGGTGGGGTTGAACTGCCAGCCCTCTGATTAGCAGTCAAATGCCTTAGGCACAACAATGAGATATCATCTCACCCCCAGCATTAATAGGAAACTTAAAAAAATAAAAAAGCAAATGCTGGCAAAGGTGTAGAGAGATGGGAACCCTCATATACTGTAGGTAGAACTGTAAAATGGTACAACCATTAGGAAAAATGATATGGCACTTCCTTAAGAAGTTGGAAATAGAAATATCACATGATCCAGCCATCCCACTACCAGATATGTATCCTATCGAAATAAGAGCTGTGGCACGAATAGATAAATACATACTCATGTTTAATGCATCACTATTCACAACAGCAAAAAGATGGAAACAACCTAAATGACCATCAATGGGTGAATGGATAAATAAACTATGGTACATACACACAATGAAATACTATGCAATGGTAAAGAATACCATTCTGATGAGTCTGTGAAACATTTCTTAACATGGACGAATCTGGAGGACATTTTGCTGAGTGAAATTAGTCAATCACGAAAGGACAAATGTTATATGAGACTACTTTTATAAAAAGTCAGGAGAAGGTTTTCACACACAAAAAAGAAACATTTCTTGATGGTTACCAGAGGTGAGAGGGGAAGGAAAGGTAAACCACTAAGTAGAGGTTAGTCACATGTTAACACGGTGAAGGAGAAGGCAATAAACAATGAGGGGAGGTCAGCAAA